GCCCGCGCCCCCCTAGCGCCAGCTGGGCCCGCTCGGCTCGGGCCGAGGCACCACGTGACTCCCGCGGGGCCGCTGCCATCTTTGTTGGGGGCAGCCGAAGCTGCGGAACCTGCCCACGGGGGAGAGGGCGGGGAGCGGGGGTGGGGGGTGTGCGCGCTCGGGCGGGGGCGGGAGGTAGTCGTGCCGCGTCACGTGACGGCGCCGCCGGCCTGTGAGGAGCCGCTGCCGGAGCTTGGCGCCAAAGGCGGGGGGCGGGGCCGGCGGGGAAAGGCGGGAAAGCGCCCATTGTCTGCGCGAGGGGGAGGGGGGGCTCCGGCAGGGGCCGGGCCGCTCGGCGCAGCCTCCGTCCCGAGCCCGTGTTGCCTCCTTGCCTTGCAGGATGGAAGAGGAACTGGCTGCCCCGTCCACGTCCGCGGAGAAAACAGACAGGTAAGTAAGTGCAGGCTGGAGCTGCTCGCAAAACCCCGGCTTCCGGGCTGCGTCGGCTCCAAGGATCAGCGTAACGACTCCTTTATTCCCTAAGAATGAAATGGAAAGCCTTGGAGCTAGGACTCGGATCTGCTGTTTTTCTCAGCAGCGTCAGGCTGCACGATGGGAAGTCGCAGCCTGTCCTTGCGCCTTGCTCTGAGTGTCTTGGTATCAGCTGGAACACTTCGGTGTTCAGTGTCGTATCGAGTCACGTGGCTCTCAATGCACATTGTGTTTAAGTGCATTGTTTAAGGGGAGCAGTGTCATGACCCCTTCTGTCACCTTGCAGCAACTGGTTGTCTGTCATTGATCGCCAAAGCTACAGGGTGGTCCGCCTAAAACGGAGGCACCGAGTGTCACACATGTGACTTGTTCCATATGTGAAAGTAACTTGGCTTTGGAGGCTGAAGGCAAGTTTTTCTGATGTCTCATTTTGATTATGCGAAAACTAACAGAATCTTGTATTCTGGTTTTCCAGTATGGATGTGGATGGAGAATCCAAGAAGCTATTGGGCTTAGGACAGAAACACTTGGTAATGGGAAATATTCCAGCTGCTGTAAATGCATTCCAAGAAGCTGCTAGTTTATTGTAAGTAATAAGATGCTCTCTGTGTTTTCATAGGTCTAGGGTTTCAGCTTGAGTGTATGGATGGGCTTAAACATGGAAGGTTTTGTTTTCTACCTTGCATAGTTTGCTGCTTTTGTAATACTGTTGAGGAGGGTACAAATTATGACAGGGTGGTACTTGACCATTTTGTGATGATATTGGTCAGTCTTTGAGGGCGATAATTTCTGGGGTTCCTCAAATAGTTATGGTTGGATGGTCATGAAAACCAGCTCAAGATTAGTGAGAAGAATGTTCAGTACTTGCTCGAAAGTGGGGGGGATAAACTAAGGAGCTCCTTCTTCCTGTCCAGGAGTTTTTAGTAGCTCTTAAGTTGAATATCAAAATCTAAGAAGGACCCCGACCCAGAATAATGCTTTGTTACCTTTGTAGGGGTAAAAAATATGGTGAGACAGCGAATGAGTGTGCAGAAGCTTTTTTTTACTATGGAAAATCTCTTCTAGAGTTGGCCAGGTACGTTAATGGTTCTTCATTTATAGTGTATCCATAGAGGTATTGTACATTTCCTCTGGGTGACTTACACCTGCAAGCGATTGATGCCTCCCCTGCTGGGGAGGGAGGAATGAAAGGCTGTTTTTAAGAGGCTGTTCAGTTTGATCACTGCGGGTGAGAAGTGACACTGGAAGCAACAAGATGTTTTTCAGTGGAAAACTAGTCAGTCCATAGTAGTGTGTTCCTATTTGATTCTATTTGGTAGCAGAAACAGTTTGTTTTTAAGTAAACATATGGCAAGTATCCATGTTTCTCTGGAGGGAAGTGTTACCTACCAAGTACCCACGTATTTTCAGAAAACAACCACCCTGACAATTCCTATTTACCTGACAGAACTTTGTGATCAAGAGTCTGGCTGGAATAATGGGACCTCATGCTACTGCAGGAAGGATCCCACTGGAAGGATGGACTGGATGGGCCTGTGTGTCTCACTGTGTTGCATTTGAAGCAGTGTGAATATAAAAGCCGAGGCATAACAAACTCTTATTCCCCATAGAATGGAAAATGGTGTATTGGGAAATGCCTTGGAAGGGGTACAGGTTGAAGAGGAAGGAGAAAAAGCTGAAGATGAATCTGTGTCTCCAACTGTTGATGGTATGTAAAGCTGAGTTCTGTGTGATGGAAATACTTAGTTTTTTTTTTTTTTTGTCTAAATGATCTGTGTTTAGTTAATGACTCGCCTAGATAGCCTGAATCATTGTATTGATACACTTGGCCTTAATGGATGACTTTTGTTCAATCTTTACACAAGTTTGGAGGAACAAAACCTCCAAAACTTCTGTGAGGAATTGATCACTTAAAGCACGTGTGAAGGGTCACCAGATGCTGTGTCCTGAAATGCTGCATTCAGACTTTAAGTTTCACAATCAACTTGAACTGCTTTGTAAGCTTGCAGCCGTGCAGTGTATGTGGTAGAACAGGTCAGTCTCTGTTTTGGGGAAGAGCCCAAGAACAATAACTATCCTATGCTACCTGCAGCTGGAGGTAATACAGGAATTCCTGTCAGTCCAGGCTATTAAGAAAAACTTGGTGCCTCTTGCTTAGCTCTGACTAAAAATGCTACTGCACAGAAATGCACCCTGCTTGAGCGGCTGCTTGCAATAATTCAGTCTGGGGGAGGGATTTGCTTAGCTCATGTTGCACCGTTGGTTGTGTCCTAATATGTTACTTCAAAAACATCTTTTTAAGGAAAGTTACTTAACTTGATGACAAACCAACACTGGAGGGTCTGAGGGGTGGTATTTTCAGTGCCCATTTAATGCTTTTATCACTAAACTCGAAGACATGTTTATGCTTCCTCAATCATGTAGAAGAAGCAAGGGAGGAGTTGAGAGAGCAGGTATATAACGCCATGGGGGAAAAAGAAGAGTCCAAAAAACCTACAGAGGAGTCTCCAGTACTAACTGAAAAGGAAAACAAAGGAGAAGACATTGAAATGGAAGAGGTGTCAGAAGAAAAAGCAGGAGGAGAAGTGACTGCTGACATGGAAGTAAAATCTGAAGAGGCTGGAGAGAAGACGGAGGCTTCTGTGAAAAAAGTAATTCTGGAAGAGCGTGAGCAACAAATAGCTGTGGAAAAGGAGACTACAAAAGGAGAGAAAGCTGGGGAAGATAAAATTGTGGGGAAGGAGCAAAAGATAGCACCTGAAGAGAAAGTGAAGGAAGCAAGTGAGGAGAAAGAAAATGTGTTGGATAAGGAGGCCAAGGCAGCTGTGGAAGAGGCTGAAACTGCAGAAAAAGCAAAAGCAGCTGTGGAAGAGAAGGGAGTGGCAGGAGAGCAAACAGCAGAAACAGCAGAAAAGGAGATAGAGACCCCTGTGAAAAAGGGCAAGGCT